ATTATAACTGTTGCACAAAATTTTTTATTTATTTTTCTTTCCAAAATCTCACCTGAGATCTCAGATGAGAATTTGGCATGCGATCTCAGGTGAGAAATCACATGAGATATCAGATGAGATCTCAGGTGAGATTTGTCAGGAGGGATGGTGGACCAGCTTCACAACTCTAAAATGTTGAAGCAAGTTGTGCTCTAGCCAGATACGTCTCCTGGTATTCCGCCAGAGACGTCATCGTTTACAATAATTTCTTATTAGTGGCACTCTTCAATCCTATAAATTCAGGGTGGATGTAGACATAGGTCATAGGTGACTTGCCCATTAGAGAAGAGTGCCGTCAGTAATCGGGATACCCAGCTGCACGACTATCTTCAACATTCTCAATGCAGCTTACTGCACTGCGGGTAGACGACTGCAGTAACTTTCAGGACGCTCCGGCGTATTACAACCACACTTATTTAATTATGTTACAGGTAGCCTTGATTTCGTGTCGACGCCACCTGGTGGATCGTACTGAACGAAAGTGAAAAGCTGGCGTATTTTTGCAAAATTTTGAGTTTATTTTCAGCTATTGTTATTAAATTTTTTAAGATGAAACCTATACCAAAACCATTTAGCAAGTGTCAGGAATCAATGTGGAAAATTTCAGCAAAATCAGTTCAGTAGTTTTCGCGGTTAGCGATTACAACGGTTTTAGCGACTTTGCTTTATATATTAGTAAGATAATTATGCATGCGCCTATCCCTAAAGAACCCGTGGCGCTTACTAGTCACTTTAATTATTTTGAATAACTAAATTAATAACGCAAGCTTCTATCCCCACGTGAGCCAGGATGCTTACTGTTCGCTTTAGTTATGAGTAAAATAAATATAATAACTTAAGCGCCAATTCCCACACAACCCAGGGCGCTTACTGGTCGCTTTGATTATTCATAATAAATAGAATAATTCAAGCGTCCCAGAAGGTGTGGAGATTTGCGTTTGCGTTATTAATTTACCAATCAAAAATAACCAAGGCGACAAGTACGCGGCCCGGGTTATGTGGGGATAGGCAATTGCGTTATCATATTCGTTTCATTAATAATTTAAGCAGCCAGTAAGTGCCCTGGGTTGTGTGAGGATAGTCACTTGCGTTATTATTTTATTTATTATAATTCATCAAAGCGACCAGTAAGAGCCCCGGGTTATGTAGGGATCATAGGCGATTGCGTTGTTATATTTGTTTTTTAAATAATTTAAGCAGCCAGTCAGTGCCCCAGGTTGTGTGGGGATAGGCGTTTACGTTATTATTTTATATATTATTAATAAATAAAGCGACTAGTAAGTACTCTGGGTTGTGTGAGGATTGGCGCTTGTAGTTAGAGCAATGATGCGTAATTATAGCATCAGCAAAACAACCGAATGACACTTGGTAACATTGCAGCAGAAGCGATTTTCAACCTTCCGTCCGTTTAAACTAATGCTCCTCATTTATTGAGAACCAAGATATGGGGTAATGAAAAAAAAATTTTTTTTTTGATTGTTAACCGATCCAAACTNAGGCATAACAATAAAACATATAGCCCTCTTAAGCTTACTGACACGGTGTAAGTAAGACAAGACAGGTATTACGAAGTACGAAGTACCATCTAGTTAGAGCAATAATGCGTAATTATAGCATCTTTCTCATTTTTAATTTTTTAAAAAAATTTTTCAAGAATAATTTCGTGTTTCGAATCAGCCAGTAAGTTTCGGCTGGCAAAAATTTTGTTATATACGTTGTTAGGTGTAATATTACTGTTTATTGTAGTTTGATTTGGTTAACAAGCAAAAAAAAAAAATTTTTTTTCTTTCCCCCATATCTTGGTTCTCGATGAATAAGGAGCATTAGTTTAAATGGTTGGAAATCGCTTCTACTGCAATGTTACGAAGTGTCATCCGGTTATTTTGCTGATGCTATAATTATGCATCATTGTTCTAACTATTGCGTTATTATTCACAGGAGAAATAAGTCTTTCCCTACACTCCTGCTGTAGCGCTGCTCTGATTGGCTTCGAAACTTTCCCAACGGAAAGTTCTGATAGCGGTGGGGGTATGCGAAGATCCTCTTTGCCAACTCTGCCCCCACCTTTGGTAATGTGCGAGAGAGACAGATACCCACCTTTAATGTTGTGTCTCTTCTTGAACTTGTGCTACAGCGTTGTACATGAGAACGAGCAGTCTTCATTTTTTATGTATGTCTATGCAAAGGGACTCACTCTTACTGGCAGCCTTTTCTCTTACTCCCCGTATCGCACCCTTTTATAGTAAACTAGACTTCTGGCCAGGCGTGCTCTATTCTTATATCTCTACGGCCGCAGGTGGGTTTGTCACAAATAACAAATAATAACTATAACAAGTTGTAATACGGTGCCGACTTAGGCGCAGCTTGGGCCTGACTTGGCATGACTTTCGCTCAGTAATCGCCTACTCTCGTCTGCACTGATATTGGAAATTTATAAGCATATAAATTAGTATATATATTTATGTGTGCGTCTGCGCCCGGGCTTATCATACTTTTTGCAGTGGCGTGTATGTATCTTATACCGTCTAATTAATACATCTCTTACAGGTAGTTCATATTTCTGTAAGATACTGTGTATTTATGATATGGCGTGTAATTAACGTAATTAATGTTCAGAGCTATTTCTTACAAATTAAAATACATGACAAATTGTATTTGGATGTATAAACAAATTATTTGGTTCCGAAACAACTTAACTTGATTTTCTTGTGTCTAAAGTCTAAAGTAAGTTTGTTATCTATTTTTTTATAAGTTTAGTATTTATTTGTGTCATACAATATTTGTCTTTGCCTTATTAGAGCATCTAATGCATTTCAGACATCGCTGACATCGGTCCTCTGCATTCTTACATTCTTTATGAATCATTACATTAATTACATTTATGATATGTCAGGTAATAAATACACATTTACTGTATTTACCCACCACCGACTATGAGTCTACTTATGTATAAACGCCTTTGTATCACACTTATCTGCAGACGAAAGTAGGCGATTACTAGGGGAGAGTCAGGCCAAGCTGCGCCCAAGTCAGCACCGTATTACAAAGCCACTGGAGGCCAAGTCAGGCACCAAGCTGCGGCCAAGGTGGGCGGCGTGGCATCGAAGCTTGGGCCCAGTTTTCGCCTTCTTTCAATTTCTACTCACGCAACTGTGTACTGTGTGTGGAATAGCCGTAGACATACAAATCATAGACCGCTTAAAAGCAACTAGGACAGTGAGGCTCGTGTAGAGAGAGAGGAAAGATGAGGGCAGTGAGTCTTTCTCTCTCGCACACGAATGGAATGGAGTCGTGGAAATTGGGGAGTACAGGCAGGAGTATGCACCAGTCACTAGTGCCTTTGTTCCGTCCTCCTGCTTGTGCCCCTACGACCCCACTCCGTAAGCATGCGAAAGTAAGACTCACTACCCTTGTCTTTCTGCTCTTTCTACGCAAGCCCGGCTGCGGCAAAGCCTCACTGAGCTAGCTGCTTGTAAGCGGTCTATTCTTTATATGTCCATAAGAATAGCCATGGAATAGGCTCCGAGTACATGGTGTGCTTCGAGGGAGTGACGAGACAACCCGACAAGAATGTGATCCAAAGGCTAAAACCAGGCCCTGGCCAGGCTAGCCTTACACCAACGCCAGGGCCTGGGCAGGCTTAAATGAAGAATTCATCACACGGTGTAATGAGGTTGACCATTGACCGCAAGTTATGATCAGGGCCTAGCCAGGGTTTATGTATATATGTATAACAATATATATCTACTGTACTACGTACTACAGACACTACAGTAGGGGTTATGGCATGTATATGTACATTCAACGCTTTTGTATAGGAAACAACGATGAATAATTTTAGCAAATGATAAGAAAAAATCTTATAAGCAGGTTATCGCTGCTTGATTTAACACAGGTTAGTGATATACAATGTTTAATTTTCAGAAACATACAAGAAAATGATGATTAAATTCTTACAAATCTAATTTTCTTTGGTTTCACATTATTATCACTAATGCCACAAGCTTTGAAATACTGTCTTGATCAAATTGTTCGTTATTTACTCAAAAAGCAGTCTAACGTTGGTGATTTGTTTCTCTTGCATTTGTACTCGTAGTAATCATACTAAGTTTATTAAGCTTGTTTTTTTTTCTCAAAATTTGTGCACTCTTCCAACTTTTCCTTTTAGTCATTCAACTTTCGTTTAATGTACTTATAGATAGAAGCGAATGAACAAACATAAACAAACAGACGATCAATTAATGGAAGCGCGTGTGTGTGTGCATATACATGTGTGTATGTAAGTGTCACATGTCACGACCCGCTGGGTTATTGGGTTATTGGGTTATTGGGTTATATATGCGCTCTGGGGGCTTGTGTGCAGTTGATATACATGATAGAGATGAGGTTAGCTTTTAGACCAGTATTATGTATTAATTGTTAATAAAAAAACTAAGCTAATATTTGCAAATGTAAGATAAGCTCAATTCAAATCAGAAAAGGTTCATTTTTTATAAACCAACGTTGTATCGAAAAAGAAGTGTTTTCCAAAGATATCGGAGGTTTAAAACAAGACAACTTGGTAACTGTTAATAATTTTTTTACACAAAATTTATGAGGGTTCAATTCAAACAAACTGTGTAATCAGAGGGTGCATTTTTTGTTCTTTCTAACTGAATTTTTTTTTTTTTTCTTTTTAAATACTTTCTTGGGCTGGGGGAGTGGGGGTCATGTACCCGTCACGTCTCGAAGGTCGAAGGTTATATGGTATACCTATATACGTAGTCCATCATCAGGGCCTGGCCAAACCCTTTCGATAAACTTATTACAATACTGGCCAGGGCCTGGTGTTCAGCTACGGCCGTCTATTGGTCATTTCTTGTCGGATTGTGCACGGAGCCTAAAGCCCATAAGCCTCTACCAGTTTGTTTTTGTTGACATCCCTGTATGTGCCTGTTGTGTGTGGACATCCCTATGCTTACTTACTCTCTCTTGTTTCTTGTTGTTATTTTGTGTTAGGTGATAATTGTTTATAGCTCTTGTTTTATTAACACCCACTTACTAGTTTGTTTTAGGATACAAAGAAGTCATTATTATACATTGAAACAAAAGAAAACCAAAACAGTTTAATTATGTACAGTATTTACAATAAGTTAAGAAAAATGGTAGTTAAAGATTTTATAAAATTCGATTTTAAAGTTTGAGAAGAAAAATGCTATATTTAAAAGTAAATACATACATCCTTTTACATATATGTACATATATTTACATTATCTAAGAAATTTTTACAGTTAATCTTTATTAGATATTTTAAACAATAATTTTCCGTATTATTTCACTAAATGTTTCGAATGCACATATGTTGCTAGCATGAAATTATTGAACAAATTAGATGATTTAAAAAATTATGCATCAGTACCTTGAAAGTGTTACTAGTTAGTAGTCATTAAATTATTTTCGTTGTATAGTGCTCGAAAAAGAGAAAAACCTTTTATTTCAAAGCACCCAAATAAGAAACGAAAATAACCTTACTCAAGTAAATAGATAATTAGTTGCAGCATTTGGTAATATTGATTAAATCTAACTTCCGTTACTTTTCTATAAAGTGGTAAAAATTCATAACTTACAAAGTTATAACCATCTAACTGAGAGTTTTTCAGCAAAAACATTTGGTTCAGGTTTACTATCTTGGCTGCGCGGTTTTCGATTTGAAAAGGAGTTGTAATATGATGGAGGGTTTTTAAGGCAGTTGGTCCAAAAATCGACTTAAAACAGATTTTCTTCAAACTTTAGGGATCGCTTCGTTATAGCGCTACACATCATTCGTTAAAATTTTGAAAGCAATGCCCGTGCCTTTTTTGAAATACAAAGCTTCAAAGTTGAACTCTTTACCATGGGAAGTATAGACTAACCCCGTAAAAAACAGACATTACAATGAAAGGTAAGAAAACCGCTCAACAGATTTTGTCAGAAAACGAATGTGCTACTACGGATAGTTTTAGTTAAAACATATTAAAATTTTAGATTATTTAGCTGTGCCGTCTTTTTACTGATGGCTCGATTGCATTCTGGGGCCCGAATCTTCGTCGATGTAATGTTTTTTCTTTTATTATTTTGACGGTCTTAATAGTAATTCATTAACGTTCTTGTCCTCAAACTCTTTTATTCCTATCAATTAGGCAAACGCGTAAGTTAAACTTAAAGATTAAATACCGTAGCGAATGTTTATTATGGTGCAAAACTGAATTTATTATCGCACGTTGCTACAAACAATAAAAATAACTAAAATCTTGAAGTCATCAATTTCGAGACTTTTACCTTCGTGCATGAATTTTTATTGGTTTTTAACACTACTTCATTTTTGTACAATTAAAATGATACGAAATTAGCTATAAGTGTATACCGGAAGTCGGAATTAGTATTTACAGAAGGGAACCTTCTTTTCGATGAAATAGTTTTTCATTTGAATTTTATTTTTAAGTAATGTGCGATAAAAATAATTACTTTTAGAACTCTTTATAGATGATGATTTAAAAAAAAAAAAAACAACTCTTGACGAACTCTTAGAGAACTTAAAAGACGAGATGTACGGAAATATTAGAGGAGTGCTTAAAGAATACTATAGGAACACTTTGCGAATACAAAAACAAGTTCGTCAGTGACTACATAAAGAATTCTTTAGGAATTGTGGATAGTAGCTGGGTCTTATTTTATACTCCAGTTTATGAGGTTTTCCCAAAAAGTCATTCGATTTTGAAAATAAACAGATCACATCCATTGGTACGACGTTTCCGATTTTATGGCCCTACAAAAGATTTGCTCTGCATTTGTAGTTAAATAAATCCAATGAACTTATTTATGAAAGATCTAATTCATATTTGAACTTTATTCGCGTGCCTACAGTTTGAACTACATACTTAGTAGAAATATTGGTCATTCTTTAAACCACCAGGGTGACGCTACTTGTCACTTTATTCTTCGAATACGAGCGATCGAGCAAAGCTCGTAAGGGAACCACTGAATGTGGTACTGTATACGATATTACGTATTGGCTCCGCTCACAAATCCCAAAAATTAGAACTCCGATACCCAAATCCTACATAAAACAACATGTATTCACTAACACTAGCGCCAAAGTGATGCATTTGGCGCTAGTGTCGGTGGTTACATGTATTTCAAATGAAATTTGGGTATCGAACTTCCTATTTTTGCCGTTTAGGCACACTAATTGGGATTTGTATTATAGTAGCATTAACTATGTTATGATGCAAAAGTGAGACATTTCCTTGCTCCAAAACTTTATGGGGATGTTTTTTAATGACTTTCTTCTCCTTTCTTTCCACCCTTTATTTGTACGGCCATATAGTAAATCTTATTGCATTAGCATATATACATTAATGTTCCAATAAAATCTCTTTCATACTAAATCGAGATTATTTACAAATAAAATTGTGTACTCCTACATGCAGGCAAAATTTAATTATCTTTAATGAAAAAAATCATAGATTTTTTATACGGCTTTTGATTTAAATATTTATGTAGAAAAACCATATGAATGTATGTAAACTATACAGAAGTTGATAAGCTACATTTAAGTTAACAAACCATACGAAAGTGAGTAGATTTTAAGAGTTGTGACATTCCAGTGAAATATTGCATACGCGTGGGAAAAAAGTATGCTGCTGTCGATATGACGCAAATAAATATTAGATGTGTAAATTAGGATACACCGTATACTTAACTAAAGCAACTTCATGCTGCTTTTTCGTTTACTTTTTGAGTTGAGACCATGATTTTATGTTTACAAAATTTCAAAGTATCAGGGCAATAGTTTTTTGACCGCGTATAACACTAGTGGAAATGGTAAAATACGGAACGTCATAATTTTTTTTTTGTATTGTAAAACATAAAAAATAAAAGTAAAGTCGTGTATTACGCGCTTGTAATGTTAATAATAATGGCATTTTTACAAGGATTCGATCGAATCAATTTTTTTATTATTATGTTAACAGTATAATCGAGTGTATATGATGACTTACATTTTGAGACGATAACGACAAAATAATCAAGATTGTTGATTAAAAATTTTTTTATCATTAAGTAATATCATAATGATAATACATAAAATTTGACTAAAAAAATGTTTGTCATAACATTATTTTTTTGGTTTTTTTTTAAATGTTGAATCATTTATAAAAAATTTACATTATTTGTAAGTGAGTCATTGTAAGTTATTTCATTAAATAATATGTTTATTTTTATCATTATCTTTATTCTTTAGTAATAATCACTTCGTCTCTGAGCCAGCAGAGTCGTAGTCAAGGTACCAGAGGCTCAAAACTCTGGAAAAGTAGTGGTTAATCCTAAAGATGCGTATTTGTGCTTAAAAATAAGAAAAAAATATTAGAAACAATACCTGGAAGTCTTTACATAAACCAATACACGCGTTAAGGTTTTTTAAATAGAAAATAAGTGATTTTTCTGCTTTTTCTAGTTTTCCTATTATGTCTTAAGGGGGCTCCTACGACTACTGCTGAGGTCAAAGACAAACAAAAAATAAAGTTTTGTTTTTCAATAAACAAATGTGTCTGATAATTATTATGATATTTTTAATAACGTATGAAGTGGGAAAAATGATATTTATGTGTGTAGTTTAACTTTGTACAAAAAATTAATTATTGTTTTGACCAGTCTAGTGCATACGGGGGTACACCACCCGTGTTGGTGTAGTATAGCGATGTAATATATAGGTATATGGTATATATATGTCGTGAACAAGTACGTCTGCTACCCAAGTGATCTCCTGACCTTCCGGACACTATTTATTTATTTCCATCACAAATATCTCGCTAAAATGGTCCTTTATC